AAACTTTTCTCTGTCCTTTATTGTTTCACCTCCATCCACGACCTTAAAGTCCCCGACAAATGCCCCCTTCTTTTAAGCAATATGATCTGTATAGATAGCGCATGACTGGAGGGAATTTATTATACCACAGGTGTATATATCAGTATGCAGATGAAAATGATTTCTAGTTTATGTGTTTGTATGTTGTTACCCGTTTCCTAATCTGTGTATATCTTGATGTTTTTAATAGATGTTCTATTTTAAATGATGTAAATGCAGACATAGAAGAGCCAATATTATATATAACGGGATTTAGAATTTTACCTTATCGCATTCCACTAAAAATATACGATATATCTCTATATAAATATTTACGAGCTAAAGAATTCCAACCTGCAAGACGCTAGTGGAGGTACACTCACTTCGTAAAGGACGGTTTGCGCTTCATGTTTACTTAAAAAAAAAAACAACAAAAAAAAAAAAGCATACAGACGTACACGTTAAAGACACACAGAACACCACGGCCATTAACTAATATTGGTTTCATGGTATAAATGTAATATGCTGCTGGCAATTATACAAGCACATGATTGCGTAAAAACTTTTTGTACTTATTATCAAACAGGACCTGTACGCTTTGCTTAAACCTCTATAACGGAAGGCATTCTTTTACTTGACGAAAACCAATCAGCCTTTTCTTTTGATTTCTAATACGGTGATGCTGTTACCTTTAGTAGAGCGGGTCCCCTGTTTGCTTCTTTCTTGTTTTCGGTCCTTAGATTCCCGGATCTGATTTGGCACCTTCACGAAAACTGGAAATTGACAATTAATGGGACAGTCTCAAGCTGTAGCCATTGTTTCCTTGAAGCTTGATTTTGTGAATCACTTGCTTTCTTGTCGTTGGACTCGTTTCGTTGACGAATTTGTGGTTCAGCCTCACAAAATGAAACCAAGAGTTTTTGACTCTAGCTTTAAGACAACTATTTTTTAGATTAAGTCAGCGTCGGAATATTTTTTGGTAACTGCATGATTTTTTTTTTTACGATCTTTGCTAAAGGCCGGGTTACGGGGGGATTTATTTACACCGGGGCGTCCGTTTCAAGAGACTCCCTTGCCTTCAGTCAAAAG